TTTTTTTTTTCAAACTTCATCCACTGTTCACGAATTCTTTGCAATCCTAACGTAAATTACTGATATGAGTTCATATTATGAATTCGGACGATGAAATTATTAGTTAACGCCGCCATCAGAACTTATGAACAATGGGATATGAAAAGCAAAATAATGTGCAGTGTTAACAACACAATTGAGAACCCCTTTTCAACACATTTTTTGCTCGACTTTTTCATCGTCTACTTTGTAAATGAAACACAAAAAAATGAACATTCATCTAGCGAGAGGTCGGTGTATTATTTTGCACATGGTTTGGAAATACTTTAATTTCAAATTTTATGTTGTTCTGGTTTAGTTTTTATATTCGTTTTTCTTTTATTTAGTTTTTGTTGTTGTTTTTCCGCACAGCAAAAATGCAGTGAGAAATTTTCTAGTGTGTAAACAGTGAAAAACAAAACGATAGATACATAAATTTGCAGCATGTCTTGTGGCAACAGCATCAACATTGCAGAATAAATAAAATGTTGCCATGTTCTTTGCTTTTTTTTTGTATGTTAGAAAGGAATGAAAGAGAAAAAGGAGGAGAGAGGGAGAGAAAAAAACGTCGTTCAAAAAAAACACGATGTTCAGTTTCGATGATGCACAATTCTTCTTGAATGCTAGTTTGTCGTAGATAGATTTCCAATAAGAAAGAAAGAGATCGAGTGAATGAAACGACACATAACTAAAAAAAAAACTACAAAAACAAACATAGTTTTCAATGACGTTTGTTACATGTTAAAACGCCATATTACAGAGATGTATAATTTTTCGCAATCCATGAGAGAAATTTTGTGTTCCTTTTTTTTATATTGTTTGCTTGAAGAAAGACGTCAGCATTTTATTCACTGAATGAATTGACTTGCCGCTATTGTTGCTGCTTGTATTTCTCATAGCAAGCCTATCAAGAGATGCAAAATGCTCGCAAATAGATGATTTTTAATGAACGGCATTAATAATATACTTACACGGCCATAATCATTGTGAATTTACATTACATGCAAGCAAATCATATTTTAAAAAAATGCTAACGTTGTTAATTACGCTTTTTATCACCCGTCTTTTCTTCTATATATACATACCATTTCATTTTTCTTTGATACAAAATAAGGTACGACACTTTCGTAAAACAAACAATAAAAATGACAATGTTTTCATTTTCTAATTAGAGTCGTTCATCGCTGTGGCGGCGGCTGTGTTGGCGGTCGTTGCCATTTTGGGCTTTGAATACTCTTTGTGATACAGCTATTTTGCTATGTTTCATGCACGCATTCATTTGCAGGCATACTGCTGTGAACACGACCAAGTTTCGGTCGGCGAAATGTTATCAAAACAAAATAGGAACACACTTTGTTTACCAATTTTTCAGTTTTTTCTCTCAATAAATTTTTCAAGTCATGACTTCAATCAGATACACTCTGCTCTTTTTATTTAATAGACTCACATTTTTTTTATAAAAATAAATTGTTCAATGTGGAAGCGCTTAAAATAACTTCTGTTGATAAATAAAGTGAATTATTGCTGCTTGAAATAACACATAGATAATGGGGTACATTGTGATCGAGTTATTGCTATAATCTATCCAATCTAGGGGATATCCATGCGAATTAGAATTAGCACATTAGCAAAAAAATAGGGAAATTTACATGAAGAAAATAGCGAAATTAGCAATAAATAGCAGAATTAGCACTGTACATGTATATACTTTAGTAAGCATTTATTCTTGAATTTATTGAAATAATTAATTAAAATAAAATTCACAAAACAAACGAATTGAATAGTGTTGAACTAAAATGTATCAAAATATGTAGTTGAATACGCTTTTTCCCACTTTTAAATAAAAATATATTCAATGGCACGTAACCAAGCACGTTCCATCTGTATTAACTACAATTTACGAATTGCAATCGGAAATGTAGATTTGATGACAGATTTCTTACTGAAAATGTATACGCTAGTGCCTGCTTCAAATATACACGTTGAAAGTGTCAACTTGAAACATTTAAGTAAACACATTTCAGTTATTCGATCATGCAGTCAATCTGACGTATGCAATATTTTTGACGTACTAGAAAAATTAGCAAAAAATAGCAGTATTAGAACAAACTAGTAGAAATACTAGCAGAATTAGTGAAAAATAGAGAGAAATAGCGTTTATTATTATAAATTATTCGATCTGCAATTCATGGCTATCCCCTAGTATCCAATTCAACGAATCATTGTTTAGTCGGTAAGTCTATAGTAAAATCGAGTTGGTGTCATGAAATGTACCGCTTTATGTAGAAATAATGAATGAGGTTTGAGAGTACGGAAGTGCATATTGGTGTAGTATTGATTAAATTAATTTCAATTTGTTTTTTTTTTTCTATTAAAAATAAATAAAATAAAATAATAAAATTCTACACAAAATGAAATCAAGCGGTATTCAATGATTTGATTCCTTGCTCAAGTGAAAATCACACAATACTCATTTTTGAATGTCGTGACACACCCCTATTATAGGGGGCCTTTCATCATGACACGTTTGAACTGATTCAAGCTAAATAAGTAGATATAATGTCATAAATTTTTCTACTTTAATTCAATCTCTTTTCACAGTCACATACATTTGAAAATGTAGTTCATGGGCACAAACTATTGAAACAGCAATTAGAAACATTATGACAAGAGAAAATAGAAAACCCAAAAAAAAAGATGAAATAAATTATTTAAAAAGTGGTTACTCACCTTGGCCATTGCTAACGGTGTTGCCTTTCGTCAGTAATATTTGACTTTCCAGTTCGTGCAGTTCAGATTTGAGTTCAGCTAATTTGCTATTGCTTTTCTTTACAATGGATACCACGTCGGATAATGAGCGACGATCTGTTGTCACTTCACGCAATTTTTCAGCACCCTCTTTGATCTAAACGACAATACCAAAGTCATTAATTTTTCGTTGCTCTTTGCCCCCTCTTGTCAATTTCCATTTTTTTTAGATTAACGAACAATTCAATAATAATTGATTTGAAACAATAATTTTTTTACCTTTAATTCCTTGCGGATTTCCCGTCTGATTGCTTCTTTGATCTCCTCCAGGCGATTTGGAAGTGCACTTTCAGGTAAATTATCAGTGAATCCATACTTGTGGCTTAATTCATATAAAACTGGATGTTTTATATAGTCACCCTGCAAATGAGCAAAACATAAAATTTAAGTGAAGAAAAAAAAAGAAGTTTGTCGATGATGTGATTTGTAAATCATTTCATGATTTTATGTAAATGAGAAAGATATTCATTATAAATTGCCGCCATGAGCACATTTTGTTCAGTCATTTTTCTGAAATTGTTTCATTTAACACCGGAGTTTATAGCAATAGAAGAAAGTATGAAAACAGCCAAAGAGGAAGAAGACCTAACAACTGTAGCCTGAATTTATATCATAGATCGTGCAAGTATTCAATTTTATTGTTCGTTTTATGTCAGAAGTCTAGTTTTTTTAATACATTAGAAATTTTTAGTGTGTAACCAGATCAATGATTGTGAATATTTTGAAATGAATGTGCACTTCGGAAGCATTACATATTCTTGTGCGATTTTTTTTCCGGCCGTTAAGTCGAGAACGACAAACTGTCAATAATACACACATGCTGTGTGCTATATGTTTGTTGTTCGGTTAATACTACACCATAGTTGTTGTTGTTGTTGTCGTCACATTTTTCAGATCAATAACTATCCCAATAGACCACAAATTGAAGTTGGTAAAACGATTTATACTCTTTGAAAAAATGGCTTACGAATTAAACCAAATGCGCGTGAGATGCATCGAATATAAACAGTTTTACATTTATTGTGTGTGTGTGTGTGTGTCTGTCTTAATCGGAGTGCCATATAAAAGTTTTCATAAAAACCGAAATCAATAAATAACATTCCCCATCAACTGACTACATCAATTCAATTAAAATCGATTGAATTTAATTGGCAAAATAAAATGTCGGGGGATAAAAAAATGGCATACGAATGCAATGGAATTGAAATGCTTTAAATAAGACAAAGTGGCCAATAAAAAATCAAATATGATGGCCTTTCCTACCGGCATGATTCAAGATTATACACATTGCAATTAAAGGTAGCTGGTTTTATTGTTAGTCATATAATATATCCATGTACAGTTGTAAAACAACAACAACAATAATAATAGTAACAGTGCACCGAGTGAATGAGTTTAGATCGAGAGATTTAATCAACGATGGTCATGGCCTAAGAGTTATGAGAGTATGAAATATCGGACAATCACGATTGTTTAGCACTGATGACATGAGATATAACATATCACAGCGATAAAATTGTCTTCGATGCACCAAAATGGCATGGGATTGGGCGTTTTACGGAAATGCATGCTAAATTGTGTGTGTGTGTGTGTGTGTGTATTTATATATATACCTCAAGTGGATGATCGATATGAATGCATTTGAGAAAAACACTTTTATGTTTGAGCAATGATTTTTGCCCACTACTTCGATAGTATTCCATTGTATTGTTCAGCACGATTGACGATTTGAACCGAAATTGCAAACTCTCGATGAAATAGTTTTCCATTGAATGTTTTTTTCTTTCGCTCTCTCTCTCTCTCTTTGGTCTTCAATCATTGTAGCAATGCTGAACAACAGCTACACTAAATAGCAGCATTTCATGACCAGTTGAAACAGAATCAACTAGCTATTTTCGAAGTTCATGCGTGTTTGTGTTTTTATTCGCAACAGCGACAAGTTTTATTTTACAATATTTATTATTTATACTCTATAATTGCATTTGACCAAGCATTCAACTTGATTTATATTCTATCATTAAAGTGTCTGTGGTATATGAATGCAAAACACTTGATCATGTGCTCATGTACGGTTGTTTGCCCATAATAACCCGAAGAGGCGAGAGGGAACCAGAGCTAAATAAAAAATAAAATAAAAATAAAATGTCGATGATTGCGCGGCCAATGTTTTTAAATATCAATTTTAATCCGTTGGTAATTGAAGCAGCTTGTAATAAAAACACCAAAATGTTGTTATAACGGTTTGTGTCACATCTATACATTGCCAGTAGACAACCGGTCAGCCGAAATTTAATAAGAAGTGCGCCGATGCCACAAGCCAAGTATTCACAAATTCACTGCATACACGTTGTTTTCAAATAATAACAACAAAAACGAAGACACGAAAACAAGAAGCGCGTTGAACCATCGAAGTAGCAGGGAAAAAACAACATAAAACCACAATTCAATACAGTAGCCAAAGTGAGCGCGCGCTTTATGTTCAACAGTCTCTCAAAGCACGAACATCATTAACAATCACTTAGCAATTAAAAGCGTTGCAATTTCATGCACAAATAAAAACCACTTTAGAAAAACGACTGTGTGTACACAAATAAAACTCAAATTATTCGAAACAAGCACACACACTCACTAAACGAGTCGATATGATACGTTTTACTCTCTAACGATTTTTCTTACAGACATTTATATGTATTTTAAGTGTTTTGTGCAGACGGCAGTCTCTTGTGCATCGCATAATCTTGTCGGTTTTGCATTTGTAGATAGGCTCGATTCTATATGTCCAACTGTGAAAAATGCATTGCAAGACCGAGAGAATTGACGATAATTTATGTTCAAAACTATATTGGTACACTGTATGCGATTTAAAAAAAAATCGATTTGATATGAACTTGAAACCAAACTAGCCAACTACTTGTTTATTTCTAATTCAAAAACAAATTTGAATTGGCCACTGATGTGTGCTTTCAGTAAACTCCAAATCTTTTACATTGCATAAAATAAACAACAAAGACACTTTTATCATTCGTATATCTATTTGTGAATTGTATCCGCTTCTTTTTCAGTTGCTTTAAAGCATGATTTATTTGTTAGTTGATCAAAACAAGATTCTATTGATTTTAATGTTGCTGTTTTTGTTATTGTGGATAATCAAATGAGTGTGCGCTCATGTCGTCAACTTGTTGTCGTTGTATGCCGAATACACGTGAACGCAATTGATCTTTGTATGTTATTATGTATAAATGGAATTTGATTTTTTTATGTCGATTTTGCGTACAGTCAACCGACTTGTTTTGCATGCAATAAAATCCGTTATATTAATATTGAATTTTGTTTGCTTCGATGAAATATATTTAGGTAAAAAGTGTCATTTTGTTTAAAACCGAAAACACACAATTGAATCGCATGTTTTGTTGTTGTTGGAATGGATATGAAAATGTCTGAATATTTCTCTGTTTCGTTGTTTTTGATTCAATTTTTGCAAATCGTAAATGTCATAAAACAACAGAGAAGCAACTGCATTGTTCGATGAGACTGTGCTCTGTATTTTTTGAGTGTGTGATTTTGTTTCGTTTGACGCTTTTGCTTTTGGTTTTTTTTGCGTTGCTTTTTCATTCAGCCACTTTAAATTGAATTAGTCCATACTTGTAATCATATCCAAGCCACATAATTTTCAATGTACATCCACGTACAACCATTGACCATTTTGTCTTTTGTGCGTTTCTTATTCTTCGCAATTCGCTGTTTTGTTGTTATTACTGACATCTGTGTACTACTTGAAACCCATATAAATCATCATTTACACCGTATTTTGTACTTTCCAGTTCACTGTATGCATCGTTGGACTCAACAACAATGATGACGACAAAAAAAACCCTATTGCGTTTTTTTTAGATTCACAAAACGGAAACTTTCAATGGAAGCTTAATCGATATTCAGGCAAGTGTTACACAGTTCAATCACTTTTCACATTTGTGATATCACACACATCGGACGCGCTAATATTGAATGTGCTATGACGAAATATTTGCATATGCGAACGTGAATTTACTACACTTTTTTTTTTTGTTCAACCATCACATTGATTTTGGGCGAGCGTGTACGTTTTTGTTATCTTTTTCCAATTTCGTATATCGTTCTTAAGACAATCTATTCGATTTGTTTACGAATTTTATATTAAACTGTGAAAGTGAACGACTTGAAAGTTTATTATTTAAATAAAATCTTGAAAGTTTGTTGTCTCTTTTATTGTTTTTGTACGAAATTTTATGCGAGTGTGCCAATGGGACAGCACAAACTAAATAACATTAAGCAAGTGGAAGTGTGAGTCGACTCAACTGTAAACGGCTCAAGTACTCAACTACTGAATTAACAATGAAAAGAGTAAAGTTTCACATGAATTTTTTTGGCGCACGTTTACGCAAACATACATGCAAAACTATCCGATGATACCATAATGATTATTGTACGAGCTCCTCTGTTCCGAACTGGCTTCCGTCAATTTGATAATGGAGTTCCAAAATGGATTGCCGACACACAGTAAATAGTCGATGAACGATGAACAAAAAAAAAAAACTATATGTAATGTTGAAAATGCAACATGGAAAAGTCTCTATTGTAATGTGTGTTATCGCTCCCGGCACAGCTGACGCTGTCATACACACACATTTATATACAGATGCAGTACAAATACAATGTCCAAATGTTCATATATCCAAAATAACAGCACAACAAAAACAACCATGCCCAAAGCACATGGAATAGATAGCGCATTGCCATTGACATGCTCAATATATCGGATACACACTTATATGGTATACACATATACACATTTCGTGTTGCCTTCATGCTTCAAACGACCACAAAAACAACATCAATACACACACAAATTATAGATTTGATGAATCTGAAGCCGATCCAAACTTCAAAAAAAAAAAATACTTTATTCGGACATTTTTCTTCTCTCTTTTGCTCCATCTCCTTTTATGCGATAGTTTTGAGCCTCTTTGTGTAAAACGCTGACAACTAATCGTATGATAAAACTTGCAAAAATAATCCATAAACTATCACTATACATAACACAACGCCACAAAGAAGACACATTAAAAAACAACAAAGTTTGTTACATAAAAAAAATTAACCATTCGGTTTTTCTCTCTGTGAATTTGAGTAGGAAATGGCATATAATATTGTGACTTAGCGACAGAAATGGTTTGCAAATCAATCTTTAGTCAGCTTTTCTCCATATTTAGACATAAAAACAAATAATGAATGGACTGTTTTGGCCGTATGTGTTAATTATTTAGCTATTAATCCATTGTGTCATCGAACGACCAAGCACACTTAATTTTAATTTAAACAAT